CGTTTGTTTGTCAAAAAAAAATGCACCAAGAAGGAGTGAAACGCCGTTCTTGTTTCCCATAATGTCTAATCAGTATTGACGTATACAAACCATTTATGACCAAAGCTCTTATTTATAACTAAACCTTCTATTATTATTATTGAGTCTTCCCGAAGACGATTAATGCGCCTATCCTGACGCGACAATCGTAGGTTTCAAGCTAACTTGTGCCATAGGTTTGTTTGGCCCATATCAATATTGCACAATACGTCTAGCTAGCTACCCGTAATCACTTGTTTGCCAACGTGGAAATGGGTCAAATATACACCGATTGAATATTCTCTATTGAATGAAATAGCGTATAGACAATCGTATATGCAATATGAAACAAGGATGTAGCGATGCTTACGGAGACACGATTAGGCTTGTTTCAGGACATGTTCGGACTGCATAGAAGTAGATCACCTTTTCCTTATAGATTCTTTATTCCTTCTTACTTTGAATCAGGTTAAATGTATCATAGCAGTTGCAGATTTTTTCATATCCGACAGCTGGTAAACTTGGCCCCCTAAAATAAACGTTAACCATAATGGCTAAAAAGTCTACAATCGTCTAGTAATACTGCGTAAGCAACTATGAGTTTGTTTGCACTATCCGCTGTCGTGAATAATAACAGTACGCTATTGTACATGGTTAACTAACTAACTAATTCCGTTTATAGTTTGTTACCAAGCTGCGTGCGAATTAAAATCTCTGAACCAGATCGTTGCCTGTTTGTGTACGTTTCGCTACGTTTGTGTATGTGTCACTGTAGTTGATGGCCTTGTCCTAAGACAAATCTCCATCACTTTGATTGGCTGTATCATACATCTAAGTACTTTTATTCGAAACATTTCTATTCAAATGATGAGAATTCACGGAATCAGAACGCTTATGTGTTGCGTATGTGGATGTCGTATGACAATGTTCACCATTGGATGTTTTCTAAGAGCTCTAAGGTAAGTGTGTACATAGTTATAACACGTTTTGTGATGTTTCGAGTCGTACTAGCTCGGTCTCAATTGCGCTGAATCAGAGTTGTGCGTCGGGTTTACAAGCAAATCCGAGGGACTTTTGAACTACACGTCGTCGACAGATGAAATCTAGTCGGTAGATACTTCAGTCTGCTGCTAAAAAGTTGTTCGATTCCAATGCCAGACCCGATCGCCATGCGCTAACTACATCCTGGATTGAGTAAAAGAATATCGAACATCGGCTTTAATTCACTTGTTCTCCTGATCTGAGTTCGTGTGATTGCAGACGGGATATTCCGTGCGCTGAAAAGAAAAATTAGTGAGCAAGCAGACCCCACTTCCCATAGATAGAAAAATTACATATGAAAATACGAATGGTACGCATATGGCGGCCTAAAAAATACCAGAGGCCTGGGAAAAGCGCGTAAAAAATAAGGGAGGTATCCCTAGCACTTATTGAAAAATTATTGTTCTAACCTAGCTGGTTCAAAGGTTATTCAATTTCGAGGTCAGCCGAATTTGCCTGTAACCGCTTTATATATATATATATATATATATATATAAAGTAGTCTAAAAATCTCTCGATAGCTAAAAAGCGTCTATTTGCCGGCTTCCCCATGTGTCTTTTTCTCGCTGCCCGCGCAACGTAAATACGTCTCGACGTTGAAGTGAATGACAAATTTCAATTGTAATCAATTGCAACACGCTTCTAAATGCAAATATCAGTGAATGAGGTTATATCTGGTAGCTTTTACAAGTCTCTCTTTCTGCTGCCAAAAATAACCTCTCACCCCAATTAAATGTTTACGTGGATAAATGTTCATCTTTTTTCATTGCATACTGCATAAATGCCCATTTCGGCAAGCAGCATGAGTCGCTAATGAGGCCCTTCGTTTGATCAGGGTAGGGGGCTTCGTCATCTGAAGTGGATTAGAAGAAACGTACGAGGCGCTTTTCGTCTTGCCTTTTGTATTTACAAATTGTTCGACACTTGTTGTAGTGCTTAACGCTTCTTGTCTTGTTATATTACGTGTTAGGAAAAATCCTTTCTCTTTGTATTATTTTCATCATCTAGTTAAACCTGCTATATTTATGTATTATAAGGAATTTCGAATTCACGAATCTGCTCTAAGGACTACATCCGTTTATTTGTCCAACAGCAGGTCAGAACCAAGCAGGGGTATTGTACAGTGATTTGTCTTTCTATCAATAGTGAAACAACCGATCCGACTGTCAAATCAGCTGATAATGCTTGGTTTTTCCTTGATGCGTCACAAAGTGTAGCTGGAACTGGCGCACCGTAGTGCTTTACCAGCATTGCGTCGTATCCACACATATAAACGAAAAAGACGGAAGTCCGACGTTTTTCAAGCTTTGCATTGATTGACGAGGGACAAGTTCGAATTCTCAACTAATTATCTTACCAAGGTAAAAAAAAATTAAGAAACTAATTAGTCTTCCTATCATCTCAGAGTGTAGAAGTCTGCTAGTGTTTAGGAAAACCGTTGTAACGGCCCTATTGTTATTGTCGTCGTTGTATTGATTCTGTTCGGGTAGTTTTGATCTACATTCCTACAATTTTTATGGACCTGATGGATGTTAATGGACTGCAGGACAATGTGCTAGCCACCGTGGCACAATAGAACAAGCGGCAAACGGCTCACCAGCCAGCGACGCAGGCAGACAATCACCCGAACGAATGAACCAGTCTTAAAGGGGCCCTCGCTCTGCGCGACACCGACATTGGCAATTTCCTTTCGAACTTCGGCTGTAATCGCAGTGGAAGTGGCTGTCGACCACTACTACTTCGAACGCACGGAACGGAGACGCTATCGAGCTGAACGATAAGATTTAATGCGATGCGGACTTCGAAATCGTTACGGGCGACGAATCGCTAAGCAGGTCGAACAATCGCTCTCAGTTAACTGACGGACCAGAAGTGCAGCCGCGTACCAACTCACGAAAAAAGCTACACAGACGTATGCATTGTGGATATATGAAAAGTACGTAACAAATAAGTAAAAGCTTGTACTTCCTCGGACTGGCACTATTAACTGCAGGAGCTGCACGGTGTACGCCGTGCAGTAATATTCGTTATTACGAATCAAGTATGTAATAATTCCTGCTTCGACGGTTAGTTCTTCGGGTGCGCCTGAACTTCAGTGCAAGATACTTTCAGGCGCGTTCAATGTTTTTTTAATAACTGAGGATCGAGAAGCAAAAATGTGCCCAGACGTAACCATTATTTTTCAGATCGAAACAACATAGTTTTTGCTCACATTGTCGTTTGATCTTCTCTAAAATAGCGTTCTTTTCAGCGTTGCAGGCCAATAACTGTTTGATTTTACCACGACTAGAAAACACAAATTGAACCCGAAATGTGTTGTAAGTTGAATGTTACAAGCAAATCCTGTCAAAAATAAACACTATCCAGTCAATCAGGCCATAATCCAGTCTGTGCCAGTTCTATGACTAATCCCTACGGCAGAATTGCGTTACCGATTTTGCTCAGGGTCAGTCGGTTACCTTTATTCTGTATCAATATTCTAGGACTTTGTTTCTAAACCGTGATTCGCCCAGTGACACGTTCATGGTTCATCAGTTTGGTCAGTAGGTGTTTCTTAGTTTTCATAGATGGGGATTTGCTTTAACAACCCTTTGGACACACCCAGAATTGACTTTTATATGCCGTAAATATCGAACCACTTATTTCTAAGGCAAACTGTATACGGCTTTAGTTGGTGGCGGGTAACGGTGGGCGTTATCCTTCTAAATCGTGGCAGATGTTCTCTGCAGGTGATTCATTCCTTCAAAGTCAGTGAAGTGCACTGATCAACGTAGACTTTGTCACTTGTGTTTGTCCGTTCGTCGTGCTGGCACGTAAATCTCTACCACACTCTGTGCAAGACTAAAAAAAAAGGTTTCATAACTGTTCTCGTTTTGAAGTTACCAATGGATTTTAGCGTCAGCCATCCTGACACTTCTTCACATATCCACCAATCTGCTTTATGACTATATATGCAGCAGCTGACTGCAGTGAAACCTATCAGCTGACCAGGACCATTAGACACACTGATCCCGTATAGAGCCGACGTTGCGTAGGCAGTAAAAAAGATCGTCCTTACACGTTGATACATACTGGGACAGGCCAAATATCACTCATGTGAACCTGAATAGAGAGGCACTTCTGTCTCTGTTCGTCTGCCTGCCTGTGTAGCTATGCGTTCATGTGTCCCGTATAGGCGGTCGTTAGTGTTTAGGCATGGGCGAGCCCCGCTTTCGCGATTTGGTCGTCTATAGCTGAAGGAACGACAAACAACGAAAAACATCGGCCACGAATAAGTTAAACATCAGTGAATTTTTGTCTGTAGCTCGCTTCTTTCACCAAACGGTACAAATCGGAAAGCAAGATTGGAAAAATGGACGATTAAAGATTAGTTACGACAATTTCACACTTCGGTACCATGTCGACGTTTAAGTGATGTCGGTTTGTAACAAAGGGGTAGAACGATTAGATACACGTCGACTGCTCAGAATCTAAAGGCTGTGCCGTATGCTCGGGAGGATCTGGAATATGCCGTGTAGGCAATCAAGTTTTGACTTGCGCAACCACTATCGTTTCACCTCAACGATGACCTCAATATTGTTTGCCAAATTTCCTGTATTCGCGCGCTGTTCAAAGGTCGGAGTATCATAAGCAAACAACGAAAGCTGTAAGGTACATTATTTAATTGTTTATCGTGCTTATTACAGGCAAAGCTTATGTTGGAGCAGATATTCGCCGTTACCTATACCTGAAAAACAGCGTTTTTTGTGCCGAGTCCTGAAACGACTGTTAAATGTTTTGGAGAATAGCAGACAAATACCCGTAAAAACACTAGGCAACGTAGAAATTTTGCCTAAGCGAAAGGATCGCATGCATATTAGATATCTAGAATTAATTAAAGGGACGGTCCTAGTCAGTTTTGACCACTATTCGTTAAGGAGAGCTGTTTTCCCGCTACTCACCTAAACGGAGTATGTCATATCCAACAGGCGGCCGAAGGGCACGTCGGGCCCACGCTGAACGGACGACGTCTAAGGAGTATTCCCCGCCCGACACGAGTATTGTGGTAGGTACGATGTATCCGCGGTACTCCAGTGACTGCACACACTGTACAAGGCATTGGTTCCAAAAGCACTGCGAGTTTTCGCGTACGAAACTTTTAAACAGCGTCCAGCCGTCGACATGGGCGTCCTTTGATTTGGCCTGCTGTGAAAGCTTGCGCCGATCACGGCAAATAATAGCCAGACAGTTTTTGAGGAGAAGCACGCGCTGATAGCGCGAAGACGCCACTCCGAGACCCATGTCCGGCGCCATCGCGCCGTGGCGCGTCCTTTGCCTTCGCTTACGTATGTGTAGCCTACTTTTTATATTTGGTGTCCAGCTTTTTTGCACGGGGTTGTCCGTTGCCGTTGGAGATCCCCAGTAAGCCCCCTTCGGCAACAGACGTGAATAATTCAGTAGTCGCTTAACCGTTACCTTTGCTCAAGATGGAAGCCAACGAGGGCAGACTTTTTAAAACAACATCGCACGTAAAATCCAAAAGGTAGCAAGGCACACTTTTTTTCTTTTTGCTTTTCTCTTTGCAACAACAGCACCACGGGAGGATTTCAGGAGATACACAAAATGCCTTCTAAGCTTCTTACTTTGCCTCTCAATAAGATCGACTTTCTTTCCGTTTCACCCACAGAAACATGATTCGCACACATGTAGAAATGAACGACGGCCGGTACACAGCAGAGTAGGCCAACAACACAAAACCAATTGACCAAGCGCCAGACCACTTACTCTGGCGATTGGGCAGGTAGGACACAGCTGGTCTGAGAACAACAACTACTATGACCACCACTACTACTGTTACTCCTACGACAGAGCGGCAGAACGGCGTTCGCTGCCAACGGCGTTTGCTGGCGAGCGAAGCGACAGACCGCGCGCCTGCAACGGAGAGGGAACCGTTGGCCACTTACCGCTGCGCTATTGCGCCTAACGTTTGCCACCACCATCAGCCGTACCACTCTCGCAGCAGCATTAGCGGCAGCAGCCGCGCTATTCGTATCTGAGCGCCACGACATCGTTCGTATCCATTCCATCCGGTTTATCTGACGTTCGCGCGGGAGCGATGCTGCCGCCTGGTGAGAGGTTGGCGCTGTACAGAAATCTACAGTCAGCGCAAACAGCCGTATGCTTGCGTATCAAACATATTTAAAAAGAAATACTCAGTGATTGTGTGTATCGGTGGAGCATGTGAACTTGTGTGCGAAAGCTAAGAAGGCAAGGTACTACTGATAATGCTGTATACCATGGGTCGAAGGCCACACGTGGAAGTTGCGTGCTCGGGTTCCATAGCACTGCTTGGCGGAACAGTGGTTTTCATGATGATTCAATGCTTACTGAAAGAGAGGACGACATGTGAGTCATGGAATAGATATGCCTGGTTCGTGCTGGGCTTCAGCTGTGTGATGCAATGCTAACACATTTACGAGCGTAAAATTGAAAACATTCATTTACTTTGATCAATGAACTTCTCTAATTTTAGAAACGTATCAGCATCAATATAAAACCCCTCCAAAGTCCATTGTCATGGTGAAACAAATTTGATTATATCGAGATAGTAAGTCCGAAGATTAAAATATATCTATATAATATCTATGCTGCATTTATGATAGACTGACGCTAATTAAAAAATAACGCAGTTTGAGTTTTGCAGGGCCGAAGCTGCGTGCAATTTTGAGCCTGAACATCCGACGTACCATCTGACTGCAGTACCCAAACATAAAATGAAATTTAGCAGAACTATGCCAGTTTAAGATAAAGACATATTGACTGGCGATGGGCATATTAATATCGCTAACATGACAGCATAGGATATTGGCAATCTATTAAGCATACTCTTATAAGTACTTCCCTTTGTTACGTTGTAGCATTACGGCTCCAGTCCATCTATTTAACAGCGAGTTAAACGGAAAATAGCTTTAATAGAGTAATCGTCATATTGGATAATGAAGCTTTAACACTAAACTCTTACGCAGGACTCATTTACGGCACTTAGGCAAATACTTAGTATGATCTAAGTTGGAAAAAAGTTGGAAATATTTGACGCGCTACCTCCATGTTTTTAGTTTGCATAAATGTAAAATCTGCGACATTAGTTACTAAGGAGAATTGTATATATGTATTAAGACTGAATAAAGTTTCATGAATTTCCAAATGGAATGTGCCTTGTAAGGTTGGCGTACAAGTTAAGTAACCAATAGCTTAAGTCAAAGCCTAGTTTAACTAATGAGTTGACCATCACCTTCTTTGAGCCTTTGTTCAGAAAGTAACTTTCAAATATGTTTTTCATGCCTTCCAGTGAGAGGCGTTTGTTCTGGGCAAATTCACTCTCTTAGGGGTTTTATAGTTAGCGTGGTATAATTATTCGTGTGTTCCCATTGCTGAGGAATTATGGGATATTTTGCAAACAATAATTATTAGGAAAGGTGATAAAAAAAAAATAAACGCTTTTTGCGCTTCTAATGAAACCTCGAAATACTCTGTAGTAGGATATATAGAAGCGTAAACTTTCCGCGAAACTACGTGTACTGTAATGCTGCAACTCGATTCAGATCCATATACTATCACTATACTAAAGCACGTACCTGTTTGTTACCTAAACGAACTTGGCAGATATTTTTTTGAAAAATAATCACAATGCACCGAAATTCGTAATGAAAACGAAGTTCTCGATAGAAAATTTTCTCCGTATTAAGATCGAACACTGATCGTCCTTTATTCTTGAGTCGAAATGGAGAAGCAGCAATGTGAGTCACCCCCGCACGGAGGAAACGTGCACTCTGCTACTGCGTCTCCACTGATTGACCCAGCAGGTAAGAACTGTGACAACACTTGTAGCGGGCATCTAGCTTCTTCACAACGCGTCTACATCGTCGGAAGGAATACATTGTGTAATTAGTTAGTAGGGCGCGTCACATTCATCTCCAATCATGACGGCAAAGAAGCTAACTGTTAAGTTACTTGAAAAGACCACGTCGAAACTAACTAAAATAGCAGAATAAGCAGACCAGAAAACTAATAGCAAGTTTTTTTTTTTGATGATTTTCTTCGAGATGCGTTACTCATTGGTCAAACGATTTTGATTTTGACCTAGAAAAGCTCAGACGAAGTCTGCCTTGTGATATAATGAAGCGCCAATTTTCAAATTTGAACTGTGTAAGTGAATTAATCCTTGCGTCGAATAGTCATGTAACTTTTAAGGCTCCTATTTTTACAATTATATCTACAGGCCTAATAGTTTTTCTATCCCGAGCGCATATAATATATATTGTTTTGGTAGATCATGGCGACAGATCGATACTGTTGATTTGGAAATTAACGTTTTTTAGTTTTTCTCTTTTATCAAGTTCTGTGGTATATTTGACAGCCATCTTTCGCCTTATGGATGGATAAGGCTCAAGAATGTCTTGTCCGACTTCAGTGTATTACGCACGTGTGGTTTTAACACCGTCGTGGCCTGTTTTGGAGAAGGACTTTTTAGGTGTAGACTTGATGTCCAATTTTGCGTATGCAAATAAAGTAAATGTTGAAAAAGCGGATCTTGTTTCCGACATAATCGAACGTTTCGCGAACAGCCGACTTGGAGACCTTTTCTGCTGTCATAGTATTCTATTTCGCTACAATCTTTTACCAAGCCAAATGGGCACGATTCGAAATCGTTACACGATCAGGCTGTTTTGGACTAAGTTGAAGCACGATGCTGTCTCAGTATTTCAATCACTTGGGTATCTACAGTGGCGAAGAAAACTAGTTCAATATGAACTAAACACTGCTTACAGGTCTGACAGGCTTCTTTCCGCCAGGACTTGCCGCCGGCTACGATCCATTTGCCGAAGTTCACCAAAATCGGAATCAGCCAGTGCCTCAACGTCAGGCCCCGCAACAACCCCCGGTACGCAGTACAGATCATTATTGCATCTTTGCCGAGTTTTCTAGAGAGGATTACTGCTTGAGGCCAATTATTGTAAGCGAACGAACTTTTATTTCAGATTGTCAGGTAAGCACTGATACGTCTGATAACGGCATCTTCCTGCTAACTTGTCTGCTACGTGCTGTCATTTTATCACTGCAGGGTATCTGCGAAAAATAGTTTCCTGGCGTTGTGTGTAGATATCCACGTAGGCAAAGTTTTTATAGTACTTCCTCTCGTATCTGTGTATATAAATATACCAGTATTATGTTTACTAGCTTGCATATCATTTTCGTGTCCATGATACTCCTGAGAATGTTATATTGGCACATAAATATTTCAACATACTGTTTACACGTTGACTGAGTGTTTGTTTACGTGAACTTTTTTTTACGAACAAACGCAACATATTTAGGTCCTAAGGTGTTTGGATATTGATTATATCACAAGGAATATATTTTCTGCAAAGGTCATACGAATCATCTAATATGAGATAGAACTCTTCTTGCTTTGACAATGACCCCCCCCCCCCTTCCCCCATAGTAATGTTTATACCCTTCTACGGCGATTGTTGATCATACGGGAGCGACAATTAGTCTGACGCATATCGGCCACTATGATGGTTCCCCATATCCTGTTAGTACTAGCGGTTTTAATACGGGTCGGCGCTGGGCGCTGTTTTTCTCTGTTGGATTAACGACTATCATATAAAAGTTGGTTAACATGAAATATGACAATATGGAATGGTTGACAATATGAAATAGTTTCAGGCTAACATTGAATCCTTTTACGACTATTTAGATGTAGAACTTTATGAATCAATAGGAATATTTAAGAAAAAAAAAGTACAATGGCAGCAGGCTCGGTACCTGAGCGCAAAGTACAAAAGCTATCTGTAAGCATAGCTAGGTGTATGCGAAAGTGGAACGGCCTACTTCATGGCACAACGACCTAGTACATGTGCACACATATAAATGGAATAAAATTACGATCTGCTGCTAACGTGAGAGTTCTTTTCTAGAAAAGATTTCCGGCGTAGGCGGAATACTGTTTCGGTTGTACAATGAGGTTTGTCGCAGAGAAAGAAACGCACCCGTCGGATTGAGTTGTCATAACACATTGATTCATTGTTTATAGGCATAGGGTCGTTTACACATGCAAATGTTAGACGTTCTGTTTGAAGCTAATTATAGCTTTGTATTTGATTAGCCCCAACAGATCATTTCCTTTCCTGATTATAGTCAATTGTATAACGTAAACGTTTGTGCCGTCCTAAATAGATCTACGACATTATGGGTAGCCCACCATCTAATAACCTTAGGCCCAAGTCAACGAACAGTTCCAGAAGAAGCTCTAAGGACAAAACTAAGAAAGATGTGAAGAAGGGAAGCACACTACATGCAAAAACGTGATCTCAGACTGCTTTGTCGCGCAGCTGAATAGATATATTTGTGAGATGGTCACTATGACAAGAGTGATTTTGGACGCGCATCTAAGTTCTTTCGACAAAGGAATATTGATGAAAAGGAAATCAAAATTTGCCTATTCAAACTTGTCAAGTAAATAAAAAAAAAAGCGGGTTCAATTGACTTTTTTGGCTATGCTATTTCTACTCACGTCAGTGGTAACTCGTTTAATTCATGCTATAATCGATTTGTTCTGTTTCAGGGACCCGTACGCATAATGATTGTATATAGGTTTTTTTGTCTATTATGTTACTATATCATATCATAAATTAATCAAGAACTCGAGGAAAATTTTGGCAGGCCGTTTGTAGTCGACATGAGCTCACACGCTACTTCCGTTATTAAACAAAAGTCCTTCTAGAACAGGAAAAAGTGTCATAACGAACAACGATGAGTCTTTATACGAATTCGAACAAAGATCAGCTGTAGACCCTGCCATTTAAAACGAAGCCCACAAACTTTTCGCTCGAAATCAATGATTGCCCATTCCACACAGCTTCTGAAAAATTCGAAAGAAACTTTGAGGAAAACCGGGAAATTCCCAATAGTTTAAGCTAAAAAGGCATCTTAGACTTCACGTTAATGATACAGGGACATAAAATAAATAATCTCAGTTGGTAACTCAAGATAAGCTCGGTAAAAGAACAATTTTTCGGCCTTTTTACCTCTAATTATTCCAAAAAAAAGTCCGTCGTCGCTTTTCTCTGTGTAGCGTTACCATACCACCCAATATCGCGTAACGCAGTCACTTTATACATGTAAAGGTATTTGTGGGAGGAAGACTTAAGGAAAGGAAATTAGAATTTGTTTAATTCTCGAATTAAGGTCGTAACCATTTGTGGATGTTGGCTGTACTGAATGAATGTAATCGCCAGAGGTAGCGCTTTTAACGCATACGATAAATTTTATTAAAACATCTATTTTTATTTAGATATTTAAAAATAAATCATAACAAATATTCTTGATCTATACGTGCCGCTTTCTATTATTATAAACACCGCATGTCTATGAAAAAAAAATGGCACGCATACTAAGCGTGTCAGAGCTAGTACAAATAATGCTTTGAAACAGTTTCTTGCTTTTCACGTATTTTTAATAGTAATTTTAAGCGTAATTGATCAGATAGGTTTAATATTGTGGAAGAATCCAATAGTAGTTATTGCCATCGAGCTGAATTAGTTTTCTGGTTTTTTGCCACGTGTCATGGTGCCTAATTTCGCGAAGTGTCTATGGAAAGGGCAAATAAATTAGTTAATTCATAACATTTACGTGTTGCTTATGCATTTTTTAATGCGCATGGTTAATGGCCTTATTGCGATCTGGTTTGTACATAATCATGTTACCAACAGGTAAATACCTATTATCAGTTATAACATGAACCTAAGATTAATAAAAACCTACTCATGAAATCTGCTTCGTACACAAAAGACTTTTCTTGTCCTTTTATAGCAGCTCTAACTAAACATGTTGAAGTTATATTTTCAAGCCTCAAGTTATGTTTATAAAATCCACATTCGTACAATATACTCGCTGCTCAACGAGTACTTCACAATGATCGTAGTAGCACAAAGCAGAAGTACTATTTTCATAGTTGTATAACTCTATGGCGATAGACATCTCTGAGTAGTTGTCCTGTTTGCCCTGAAATCGACTATGCCTCTTAGAAAGCAGGTTCTATTTATTATTTACACTTCCTTTTTGAACTCGAAGCTGTTTCTTTAGTACCATTTACAGTGAGGTCGATTAACGTAATAGAAAACTTTTCTTAAAAAAAGTTGTTAATAATTCTCGAATGAACCGAATTTGTAATAAAGCTATTAATAGGTTTCACCACCCATAAGTAAGAGCACGTGCTACTGCTCTGCGCTGTTATTAGCCTAATAGGGTCGTGCGATATCGTTAGGTGTCATTTTGTACACCAACGTGCCCCTGTGGTACTATTCTGAGACTGCCCTGAATGAGAAGCGACTTTCGCTCATGGAGACGATAGCGAACCGAATTAGCGACAAATTCAATTTGTATTTTTCTCAGAACGAAATTACCAACAAAGAACATCGAAATGGAAACCGTAACTTGTAACACCACTTTGATCTCGACGCTACCACTGAAGGTGACTAAAATATTTTGCCTAGGGAGCTGTAACAACTCTTCTAATCATTTGTAGAGATCTAGAGTTCAGAGGAAAGCCTCTTCATGAAAGCCATTAGGTAGAAAACAGCTTAATACAGCGTAAAATGAAAAACAGCGTCAACCATTGACTAAGGGCATACACACTTACATTTTTCGCCTTAATATTATTAAAAGTTGGGTGAAATAAAAGTAGTGCGATGATCCCAGAGCTTAACAAAATGTCCTCAAAAAATCTATGAGATGCCAATAAGTCGCGCAAAATAGGAAGAGAAGTTTATATTTTTGAATGCTCGTCACAGAATGTCAGCAGAAAACGTTGCAAGACGTTAAGGAAATGAAAAAAACTGCAGCAGAAAATGACGTATACTGTTTTTGCTTCACGCAGATATTTTAAAAGGAACGTGATATTCTTTCATACATACCCATGTAGGACCGATGAACGGCTCAACTGCGATATTCGATCTCTGTGGATCGATCAGCGAGTGCTATTTATTAAGTTTCTTATTATGTCTAGGCCTAGCGCCAGGCACTTACGTAACAGCTTAACTATTGGCGTAGACTTTGAAACAACGTTGTGAAATTATGAGGAGTAGAACAAAACAACTAAGAACATGTATGGAATTAAGAACAAAATAGACAGGAAGCAGCAATTCAAACTGCCATACTAATATCGGAGTTCCAGATGTCATCAATGTATATATATATATATATATATATATATATGAAAAAACAAGAATCCCCAGATCGTCACTATCTAGCTCAGAAGCTTAAAGCTCAACGTAGGCACATGTCTCATTCTGATCATAATCCCAAGTCGTCCAAACGATATTAAGGAACAGGCAAAGAAGGACCAATTCTATACGCGCATAATATTAATCACACATAAATAATATATGAGGGTAAAAATTTCCATAAAAATGCCAAATTATCAAAGATTTTATTAGGTTAGCTTATATATGGTTATTTTCCATAGATTTAATTAACAATATTCAACAAAGACCTCTTTCTAGTTTGTTGCTGATAAGCTTCTTCGGTTTCCGACTATCACTTTCTAAATTAACTAATTGAGTTAGGCAAAAATAGGTGTGCTTTATCGTGTGAAAAAAGAAAAATATCCCGGACCGCGCAAGTGAGAATTAGCGTATAATAGGGCGAAGACTAAAATAAAAGATCACTAAGAATCACTTAGGCTGTTAAAAGTTGATTACAAGACAATGCTATAGCTTAGAGGCAATACTATAACGAGCAGATCTCTGCCCGATACGAGCCACATACAATCATATCTTATGTACGAGTCTAGGTTAAAGGAATACGATTGGTTGGTATGGGTGATTATAGCATGTAGAATTGCGTAAGCTCATCCAACCAAATAGCAGGCAACATATCCAGTGATAAGAATTAGGACTAGATAACAGAATTTACTTTTAGTTCAGGGCGGGTTCGTCTCCCAGTTGGTCTACCACAGAATACTCAAGGTTGCTTAATCCTATGACTTTTCTTTAGGCAATGTCCTTTCATACTAAAGTACGATGCTGCCTTAGCAATTTCTTCTTACAGACATCATACTGGATCCATACCTCATAAATAATAGTTTCATTATTCGTCGTTAGATCCCAGAGCATGACATATTATTATTAATAATAATAATTCCCCACCCTCTAGTGGAGGGACATCCTTATTTTGTGTGGAACAGTACACGGTCTATTTGATAAATAGCCAAAAAAGCCAACCACCCCAGATTGTCGCAGGTAAATGGATGAGGTTCAATTTATTTATTATGAGCATGAGTTATAGTCGTGTTAATCGAACCTATAAATCGAAAAAATCCGATCAAAAAAAAATCTTAAAAAAAAATAGGATGAGTGTAGTACTCTAGATTTAAATTGAAAAATAAACTCCGAAAGTGGTAGCAAGTAATAAAATTTGTTCGTTCTTTTCTATTTTCATCTACTCTTCAGTGATTGCTTGACATCGCCAAAATTAATACGTTAACCGATACACTATTAATCTACATACCAACTATACTATGGCCATTTTCATATATTTTTCAACACTCATTTTCAGTAATAATAAGCATCACATGCGTACGACGCTAAACCGCATTAATGCAAGTTACTTCGAGGACAAAATCTCACGAAATGTGGTTCATTTAGTCTAACAGTTAACGGGAGCAAACAAGTCTTGTCTAGTAGTAAGCTAACTACGTACTTAGGTGGCTTACTATTAGGCAAGAGGTAACTTCGCCAAGTATAACGCCGTATTTTACGCCGGGTTCTGCCGTTCCACAAATCATTTGAGTAACAGACATACTATGATGCTTTTATTTTATTCATTTTGTTACAAGGCACACAATTCTCACTTAGGTATTACTTACCGCCATGACGAAAATATTTAAAATGTGGCTACCGTCTCTAAAAACTAACATAAACAAGAAATAGTTTGAATAAAAAATAAATGTCTAAATAATTCGAGTTATTCGCTTTTTTTTTAGACCAAACGGGATTGCCGTAACCTATAAAAGGGCCGAACAATATTGTGGTAATCTACAAAAAATGTGGAACGCTTCACGATTTTGCGTGTCATCCTTGCGCAGGGGCCATGCTAATCTTCTCTGTATCGTTCCAATTTTAGTATATGTATCCGAAGATACAGTACGAGCTTGTATTTCCGCATCTTATATACCGTTGTTGGAAAGCACGAACTCTGAACAAGGTAACGCAAAACAAAAATGTTGAATTTTGCCGTAACCCGTAGCTCTTATTCGTGTACTTGTAAGTCATGCCGAACTCCTGCGCTCTACTCATTGGTTGTATAACTTGAGCTAGGTCAGTAATAAGACACTTCTAATAGAAATACACAATTCTAAGATGAGCCGACCAATTTTCACGTGAGGGAGGGTTTTGGCGCCCATAAAAATTCGAACTACGTACGACCAACGCCAACAACAAAGCAGACAACATTGGTCGCAAACAATTTGAATATGAGCTTGCCGA